CATTTAATCTAGAGTGGAATCACCGGCAGCAAATTGGAAACTGAACGGAGTGGGTCTCCTCTCTGCTCCACTGCAGGCTATTTTCAGAGGTGGTGGGAGGGTTCAAGACACCTCTCACTGCTCACTGTAACTAAAGTACTATCAGTGTTTTCCTGTTTTGACACCAAAGTCTCCAATAAACCAGAAAAAGTAGCTAGAGTTGCCGCTAGTCATTTTTTTGGGGGAAAAAAGTCGCTAATGGGGTTTGAAGATGTAGCTACAACGTCACTAAGTTGGTAACAGTGCTCCCAGTTCCAGATGTTGCAGAGTTCTGCTTTGTTTTACGGCTGTCACTGATGCAAAGTTCTATACATGCGTTGTTTCAAAAAAGTCTTACTATATACCACCACATGATGGTACATACTGTTATTATTCCCATTTGTGTTTAGAGTAACTACACAAATATCCCATCCCTGATAGGGATCCAGCACCTGATTCTGATTAGTCTGAAATCACATGATTGGCCCAGTGTCCGATCTCATGAGAAAACAACACAAAAAAAGCCGGTCACTTATGCCAACAACGCTCTGCAGCCTGTCAATCCTAAAGCAAGCAGCGAGCTGTGAGTCTCTCCCACTTCCTAAGTATTGCAGTCAGTCTGACAGTCATTTGTTCAACACCGCACCTTAGCCAGTAGTCAGAGCAGAGGAAATACTTTCCACTCCATGTCCACAATGCAAATAAATCACACATTTGTAAAGCTGAGTAATGCTACCAATCAATTTTTGCCATGGTATTTCAACTCCTGACTTGCCATCAGTTGGACCTGCTGCGTCTCTGAGTGAAATCATAATGAAATGATTTGTGTCCGAACCAAGGCTGAGTGACAAAGTTGTACAAAACTTATCTCTCCAACCAATAGGAAAATTCAACTGCCTAAACATCATTCAACTAAAGGTGACCAGTACTGAGATGGTTTTAGGTAAACTATTGCAGAAATTAACAAATTGTCATGAAAATGTTAAAATCTGCACAAAAATGTAAGGTTAGAATCCTAACACATAATTAATTTATCAGCAAGAAAAGTTGATTTCAGTGTTAGATACACTAAGTATTTAGAAGGGTACACTAGTAAATTAAAAACAAAATGGAATAATGCATAAAACTGCAATATTTCTTTACAGTAATCCCAGAATGTGAAACTGGTCATAAAGTGATATATTTCAAGCCTTTGTTTCTTGTCATTTTGATGATTGTGGCTTACGGATAAAAAAAAAAAAATAGCAGAATTCAGTATATCAGGAAACTACAACACTTTGAAAACAATAATTATTGGAAACTCATGGTCTCACACCCTAATCAGTTTAACTCAAAACACCTCCACTTGAACCTTTGAACTGCCTCTCACTCTGGGTCAGAAGGTTTTGAGCAGTGATCATACTCTCCCTTCACCAAAACAAGATCTCAATGAAAAACTGATGCAACACTGGATGGAAATAAATCTTGTGATATTACAGAAGCTTACTGAAAAAATGCCATAGCAAATATGTGCTGTAATCAAAGTTAAAGGCAATTCAAGGAAATATTAATGAGTGACGCTTTTGTGGTGACTCTTCTTTTGGCCAGGCAGTGTTTTTTCTGCTCTTTATTAGAAATAAACCCTATATCTTCAACAAAAGGTGCACAAATAGTTTTGAGTATTTCGTTAGTATCAATGTGTGTTTAAAGCTTCTGTCTCTTAATAATCTTACCCAAATTCATTTGTTTTATTACACATTTTAGCCATGTGTAGTCATTTCTGTTTTAGTTGAATTTTAATTCAATCAAAAAAAATATGGATATGGAGAGAAATTAGTTGTCAAGGCCTGTTAGTACATTTTTGAGTTTTACAAACAAGCATGTCTTTGAAAAAGCATTCCTCCATGATGTTATATGTTAGGGGAGAAAATGGACTGTCTACCTTAAATAACTACAACATAATATCTATGCCAATATTTAAAATATTAATCAATTTTTAAATAAAGGTATTGGGCCTAAGATCACACAACAGTGAAGCTTTTGAAAGGCTGAATGGAACTGACTACCAACAACTCTGAAGTGCATGAAGCAGAAAGGAAATGAGAATTAAATAAGTATAAAGTTACCAAGAAGGAAACTTCATATACAGTGAGCTTGGTCTGAAGTATGCTAGCCATGTTCCTATCTAATTTTTTTCTACACAGACTTCAGAAAACATTCCCATATTTCTGCACCTTTCTTTCTGGTGTCGTCTCCTCACTTCAGTTTGCAAATGTCTGACTGCAGGTTGTGGGGAAAGTTACCTGTGGAGCTCATCATTCACTTTATTATGCTTAAGAAGATACAATCTCTTTGTTTACATTTCCAACTCTTCCTGCCTTCCACAGGATCAGATCTGATTAGATTCCATCTACTGGCAACTTTTTAGTCTCATTTTCTGCTTTGAGATATTAATGCATAGACCTCAAAAAATGAGTAATTTATCCAGCTGCATGAAAGAAAAAATGATTTCATATTTTGATCTCTACAAGAAGTTTTCCTCTGGCCTCTGCTTCAGCATCAAAACAGCTTGGTTGTAGAAGCTTAATGACTTCAACACCTTACCACTTCTTTACCTTACAAAACTTATTGTACTGCATTAAAGAGTCTCACTAAATCTATAGAGCTCCAATGCATTGCACTTAAGCGAACAGATCTTAGTGATATGTGTATTGCCCACAGTTATATCGTCATTAAATCTGTAACATATTGTGCAGTCCCTAGTAAGGAAGATGAATGAGTGAATTTTAGCTCCCTCTTTATATGGGTTGCAGTGTTGACATTTTTGTCCTTTTATGTTACTAAAAGGACAAAAATGTGTTGTAGATTATGATGTAGCCACCATCATAATCATGGTGGCTGATTATTAATGTAGCCACCAATAACTGTAATAATTTGGGTATATAATTACAATAGACCATGATTATGATCAAAAAGGTGATGAGTCAGCAGAGCAGGTCAGATTAATGTCTGACCCTTTCTTATGATATTCTTGTGATGGATCCAGATGGACCATCTGATACTAGAAACGGCAAAATATGAAGAAAATGTCATTTTAAGTAACAATAAGAAATTACATATATTTTGATGGTGCAGATTGAGATCTTAAAATAATTACAATAGCCTGTTAAGTGAAGCATTAACTAGATTTCTAGATAAATATTTTCAAATAATATTGATGTGACAGTTCAGTAACGTGTGGTGGTAATTTGATCTGTGATGACTACAGCATATTTACACAGATGGTAATCAAGTAGATGAAGTACTTACAATAAACATCGATGTTTACTGGATCACTGATGACTGAACTGACAGGATTAGACACACGACACCTGTATGATCCCTGGTCATTTCTGGTCACATTGACTATAGTCAGATTGGAGTTTTCTTCATTTGTCTTGATCTGAACTCTGTCACTGGTTGTGACCTCAGAGCTGCTGTTCATCCAGATGAAGGAGAGAGAACGTCCAGAGGAGGAGCAGGACAGATGGACGGAGCTGCTGAACTCAATCAAGTCTGCTCTTGGTGGGGAGACAATTACATTGGAGACTGGCTCTGTTGGAGGAAACAAAACACTTGTCATCAAATACAAGAGTCAACAATCTCTACTGTAGTCATGAACCAATTCAGTACAAATCTTGACATGAGAGAAATTGTTAAATAAAAAAACTAATGAATTTGTATCTTGTTCATGCTGAATAAAGCCTTACTCTTCCTCAAATAACATTTATGCTTTTTGCTTGAACTAAGGGCTTTATATAATTTTCTGAATCATTTTTAACAACAAATTCTATTACTTTTTTAAATCAATTCTAATCTATATAAACCTGTGACAATGTTTAATGTCTACAGTTGTGAAATTTTTATTCTGTAACATTTAACTCCAATTTTAAATCAACTTCCATAAAACC